GGTGGCTTTAGCCCCATACGTTCTAGGTCACGTATACAGAGCCTGCTCTTTTTTTTGTGAGAAACCCTTAGATGTCAATCAAGGGGGACCGATTTGGATTCTTCAGCTTTGGCTTTTTGCTTATTTCCCCGAGTTACAATCCAAATGCCTTAAATTTTTTGAACCAGACCCTCCTACTCATGGCATGAGGCTAGCCAATGCTTCTCTTTATCCTTCTACTTTTGCTTTTTACTTCTCTTTCTTTCATCAACTTTCAGCCTCTCCTCTTTCCTACTGCTTTTGTCCCTTCAAACCCACTGCTATCGGCCCACTTTGGTTGAAGAATTTCCTAAGTGATAGGCTCTGTGCTTCACTTGTTCATAAGGATATATGGGCCTTCATTTTAATTCCCAGAGAATTATTTATCGGGACCATGAACCCCAGAGCTTACAAATGCATTGCTGAGCCATACTGCCCTGTACAATTTGCTAGACAATTTGGCTTCACTCAGGGGGTCCCAATACCTCTCTGTAGTAACACCAATCTAAGTCTTACCACAAGGGATGTGAAAGTTCGAAGGTCTAGACTGGAAGAGGCAACTTCCAAATTTATGCAGGACTTGATCGATTTTGAGTACATCCCATTCCTTCCCCAAGGTAACATTTTGAAGAGATACCAAAATTGGTTGGTGACCAATATGGAAGTGCACCTGGCCATTCCCCCTCAAGACCTGTTGACGGTGTTAGACGTACCCAAGCCCAAAGGAGCTGGAGCTGCTACTTCTTCCACTATTCTGACCATTTCAATTCCTGTGTCTGCCTCTATTCCTAGAGTTACTCGGGCCACCTCAAAGAAAGGTATATACTCTTATCTCTTCTCTTTTATCTTTTTCATAATGCTTTCAGTCTTATCTTTAGTTCTTCCTTTTGTGAAGGTGGTGTAGGTACCTCACAGGGAGATTCTCCTCAGAAGATTCAAGATCAACAAAAGAAGAGGAGACCTTTACTTGAGCCTGAGAAGGAAGTTTTTGAGGTGCAAGCAGAAGAAGAAGAAGAAGAAGAAGAAGAAGAAGCAGAAAAAGAGTTAACCCAAGAGCAAGAGTCTCCCCTGAAAAGAAGGAAAAGAGTGGCCGTCCCTTCTTCTAGTTTGGTTCAGGATCTCATGCACGAGACAATGGTCAGAGTGGAGGAACTTACTTCGGAAGAATTTGAATCCCAAACTGGAGAGAAAGGAGTTGAGGAAAAACATTCAAGGCCTGCACAAAGAAAAAGGAGAAGGAAGATGACTGTCTCTCCTTCTGATTTTGTTGGAGACCCTATACATAAGGCAGCTGCTAAGGTAGTGGAACAAGAGCATTCCAAGGCCATAATTGTCTTTGAGAGAGCTGAGAAGAGACGGCAGCAACAATTTCTGAGAGATGAAGCTGCTGCTGCTGATGCATTACAAAGGGAAATTGCAAGAAGGCAACAAACTGCCAAACATTACTCTCTTCGTAGTTCTCCCAACATTACCGCCACTTCTGGAGAGGGTAATTTCTTTCATTCTTCTGCTATTTTTCCTTTGTCAGCCTTTGGTATTGGAGTTTAACATTGCTTCACATTTCTTCCTCTTGTAGCAGTAATTACTGAGTTCATCTTTCCGGTGAGGCCTCCCTCAGCTTCACTTGAGGTTGATCAGATGCAGGATGTAAGGGTTATTCAGATCATACTTCCACTTCCAATGTAGCGCCCTCAAAAAAATACCCATTATACATATATCCCAGACATGCATTATTTAAAGAAAACACTTTAATAATTCATTATAATATCCATCAGAGTCTTACTAAACAAAAGCATTACATGTAACATCAAAGTAAATGCCCTACCGGCTTACATCTTTCCAAGCCAACACTTGGACACAAAGTATGAGTTCTAACTCAAATATAAATAAAGCCCTAGGCTTGAGTGTTTACATGTACTAACAATGAAAAACAAATAACTAAAAATAGTCTTCAAAATCCAAGTCCTTCCAAGCTAAGTCCTTGGAGGTAGCTTATCACCTGAACCTGAAAATGATGTTCCCATAAAGGGTGAGCCACAGCCCAATAGAAATATACTAAACCACATATAAGCAATGAATAAAACAATAGCATTCAACAGATGGTTAACCAAGATAAACAATTACTTCAGTTTATAGTCTCATGACACTATTGTCTAAGACACGTTTTACTTTCCAACTTTATCAACATGGCTCAGAACCTGGCCAAACTTACAACAGTGAATTACATATAACATATTCACATCCTTCCAATATCAACAAACAAATGAGACTCAAGCTCAAATCAAAACACTTCAATATAAATAAGCACACATAAAAGTGATGCTAATGGAGTCCATCCCCTATCTCCTCCCAAACAAAAATCCGGTTTAGAGGTCCATCCCCTATCTTCCCCTAAACCACGATCAAAAATATTGAGCTTTGAAAGAGTCCTTGTAATATTGGATGATGTATGGAAGAGACTAGAATTGAATGACATTGGAATTCCATTTGGAGATAATCACAAGGGTTGCAAAATTGTGATGACTTCAAGAAATAAAGATGTATGCAACAGTATGGGCACACACGAGAATTTTGAGATTGGCGTCTTACATAAAGAAGAAGCATGGAATCTTTTTAAGGAGATGGCTGAAATTTCAGACGAAGGTACAAGTCACTCAACTGGTTTGCAGTTGACGCAGATGGCAGTTGCAAAGGAATGCGGAGGCTTGCCGATTGCTATTGCTACAGTCGGGAGGGCACTTAGATGCAAAAACAAGTATTCATGGGATTCTGCTCTTGAACAATTACGAAAGTCATTGGTCAAAAACATTAGTGGAGTGGATGAAAAGGTGTTTAAATCTCTAGAGTTGAGTTATGATTCCCTTGATAGTGATGAAGCCAAGAAATGCTTTCTGCTCTGTTCTTTATATCCGGAAGATTTTGATATTCCAATTGAAGATCTCGTTAGATATGCGATTGGGATAGAGTTGTTTGAGCGCATTGATAGTGTGCACCAAGCAAGAAACAGAGTACATTCCTTAGTTGATGACTTAAAAAAATGCTATCTATTGATGGAAAATAAAAATGAAGAGTATCTATTGATGGGAAGTAAAAATTTAGAGTGTATCAAAATGCATGATGTCGTACGTGATGTGGCTATATCAATTGCATCTAGGGAGGAGCATTCGATTGTTGTGAGATGTGATGAAGTATTGAAAGAATGGCCCAAGAAAGACCGACTCGAAAAAAAGGCTATAATTTCATTAAAAGTTGATGGCATGCATGGGCTTCCTGGTAATTTAGAATTTCCAAATCTCCATCTTCTAAAGCTAGATTGCAATGCTGGATTACTACCAATCTCATTACATGATCTCAACAAAGGAATGGAGGAAGTCAAAGTACAAGAGACCCTGGATCTTTAAGAACTCTGCCTCCTCGACACCCTTCGGCTATCCAGGTTAACCATTTGAGAGGACCCTTTTTTAGTTCCTGCTGCTCTGTGCTTTTGGAATTCTGTTTTTAATTTCTTCCAATTCAGATGTGGGATGATGGCCCCTACTGTGCTTGACATTTGCCATCTTTTAGGATTATCTCCCATTGGAACCCCCATTGGACCAGATTATCCTGACCTAGCAGTCCCCCTTTCCCTCCTCTCTCTTAACTCATCCTATAGTGACTTTGTCAAGGCTGAGAATAGAAGGGAGGGTTTTGTGACCGATAGGGAATTCTTTTCTTTTTTACTATATTAGCTTTGCAAGTTCCTTTTCTGTACCTCTTCTCAAAGAATTATGCCTGAATTTGCCCCTCTTACCAAAGCCCTTGTTTTACAGAAGAGGGTGGCTCTAGCCCCATACGTTCTAGGTCACGTATACAGAGTCTACTCTCTTTTTTGTGAGAAACCCTTGGATGTTAATCAAGGGGGCCAAATGCCTTAAATTTTTTGAACCAGACCCTCCTACTCATGGCATGAGGCTAGCCAATGCTTCTCTTTATCCTTCTACTTTTGCTTTTTACTTCTCTTTCTTTCATCAACTTTTAGCCTCTCCTCTTTCCTACTGCTTTTGTCCCTTCAAACCCACTACTATCGGCCCACTTTGGTTGAAGAATTTCCTAAGTGATAGGCTCTGTGCTTCACTTGTTCATAAGGATATATGGGCCTTCATTTTAATTCCCAGAGAATTATTCATCGGGACCATGAACCCCAGAGCTTACAAATGCATTGCTAAGCCATACTGCCCTGCACAATTTGCTAGACAATTTGGCTTCACTCAGGGGGTCCCAATACCTCTCTGTAGTAACACCAATCTAAGTCTTACCACAAGGGATGTGAAAGTTCGAAGGTCCAGACTGGAAGAGGCAACTTCCAAATTTATGCAGGACTTGATCGATTTTGAGTATATCCCCTTCCTTCCCCAAGTAACATTTTGAAGAGATACCAAAATTGGTGGGTGACCAATATGGAAGTGCACCTGGCTATTCCCCCTCAAGACCTGCTGACGGTGTTAGACGTACCCAAGCCCAAAGGAGCTGGAGTTGCTACTTTTACCCCAGTTCCTGTGCTTGCTTGGACATAATCTGCTCCTGCTACTTCAGCTCCTCCTAGAGTTACTCGGGCCACCTCAAAGAAAGGTATATACTCTTATCTCTTCTCTTTTATCTTTTTCATAATGCTTTCAGTCTTATCTTTAGTTCTTCCTTTTGTGAAGGTGGTGTAGGTACCTCACAGGGAGATTCTCCTCAGAAGATTCAAGCTCAACAAAAGAAAAGGAGACCTTTACTTGAGCCTGAGAAGGAAGTTTTTGAGGTGCAAGGCAGAAGAAGAAGAAGAAGAAGAAAAGAAGAAGAAGAAGAAAGAAGAAGCAGAAGAAGAGTTAACCCAAGAGCAAAGAATCTCCCTTTGAAAAGAAGGAAAAAGTGGTCGTTCCCTTCTTTTAGTTTGGTTCAGCGATCCATGCATGAGACAATGGTCAGAGTGGAATGGAACTTACTTCGGAAGAATCTGAATCCCAAATGAGGGAATAGGGTTGGAAGAACATTCAAGGCCATGCCACAAAGAAAAAGGAGAAGGAAGATACTAGTCTCTCCTTCTGATTTTGTTGGAGGACCTATACATAAGGCAGCTACTAAGGTAGTGGAACAGAGATTCCAAGCCATAATTGTACTTTGAGAGGAGCTTAGAAAGAGACGCGCAACAATTTCTGAGAGATGAAGCTGCTGCTGCTGATGCATTACAAAAGGAAAATTGCAGAAAGGCAACCAAATGCCAACATTACTCTCTCGTAGTTCTCCCATCATTGCCGCACTATCTGGAGCGGGTAATTTCTTTCATTCTTCTGCTATTTTTCCTTTTGTAGCCTTTTGGTATTGGAGTTTAACATTTGCTTCAATTTTTCTTTGTTAGCATAACTACTGAGTTCATCTTTCCGGTTGAGCCTCCCTCAGCATTCACTTTGAGGTGATCAGATGCAGGATGTAAGGGTTATTCAGTTCATACTTCCACTTCCAAGGTCTACACTTCCTGGCATTTTCCTTGAGGCCAAGCATTCCTGCATTTCTTGCTCTTTGGTTTGACTCCACATCTTTCCACTTGACCCTTGAATTCTCCTCAATTCATCTTCTCATATCGAGCCTTGCTACCTCCTCCTCCTTCCAAGGAAATCCCAACCCTACCCCATGCTCTGATGGCAGTTGATTTAGCCCCTATTGAGGGTGCTGGCAGCCTCTCCACACCGTGGTTTATCACCTTTACCTAGCTCCAGCCCTTCTTCACTTTGATTCACTTGGTGGCTTAGGACCATGGAGACTGCTAAAGAGGTCTCACCATTTCCTTCTATCCCTATGCAGTCTTCTGTGTCTTCCACCACAACTCTTTCTGTGCCCCTTATGTCTAATGATGAGGTTGATGTCTTCAAAGCAAGACTAGCTAGTCTCTTCGACATCCCCTCTACTTCTCCAGCATTCGATGAGGAAGCTGAGCCATTAGTTTTGGCTGCCTCTTTACTGGAAATCTTTGAGAGCTTTTCTTCCTCCAGCAGCAAGCCCTCTGTACCTTTGATAGACTCAGACACCTGCCTGGAACTGTTAAATTCCTTTTCGAGGACTCACTTCGAGGCTCTACAAAGGCCTATAATCAGAAATGGGTTTCTTCAGTGCTGCAAAATTGCTGAACAGTCCAGCATGAATGTCTCAAGTCACCTATCCCAGGCAGCAGCTACTATCGACTTCTACATCAGCATTTGTCATGCTGCCAAGGCTGCGGATGAGAAATTGGTTAGAGACCAGAGTTTTGTTTCCCAAGTGCATACTGAAGTGTCAAAGCTTAAGGAACAACACTCCTCTGCCTCTCAATTTCGAATTCGGCTACTGGAGAGGAAAGCTCAACTTGAAGAGGAGCTTTCTGCAATGAACCAGACCTTAGTCCAAACTGACATCAAATTGCAAATCACCAACCAAGGACTGGCCGATCAAAAGAGAGACATGGCCGCAGCTATTCAACTATTTTCATCATTTACCACTAGGAAATCTGTTGTACAAAAACAATTAAAACATTGTAATGATTTTTGGGCCAATTTGTGGCACAATGTACTTGACTCTTTATGAAAAAAAAAATTCTTGTTTATCATCTGAGTGATCTTGTGTTCTTGTACTTAGTGTTTATTTTATTCCTTGTGTTTCCCAAATAGTTGGAAAATAAGGCTTCAAATATCTGCCATTAATCTTTTTGGGATGTACATAACCATTCAGATTTCTTAAATGGTATGCTCCAAAAGGCAGAACTCTATGAATTTGATATGGTCCTTCCCAGTTAGGTGACCAATTACCAAACTTATGGCTTTTAATTTCTACTGGAAGTATTGTCTTCCATACCAAATCACCTTCATCAAAGCCAATGTATTTGACTTTCTTATTATAATTTTTGGCTGCTTTCTTCTTTTGCAAGAGAATGCTATTTAATACCAGAATTTTAGCTTTATCTATGCTTTCTAACTCCAAGCACATACCCTGATGGTACTGCTCAGGATCCAATTGGTCTTGGCATCTTACCCTCAGAGACTTAACATTGATCTCCACAGGTAATACTGCATCATGTCCATAAACTAAGGCATAAGGAGTGACTCCTGTGCTTGACCTTTGGAAAGTTCTGTAAGCCCATAATACATCCAACAATAAGTTATGCCAATCCCTAGGATTATCTTGCACAACCTTTTGTATTCCTTTTTTCAAAGACTTATTGGATGATTCAGTTTGTCCATTGGCTTGTGCATAGTATGGGGTGGAATTAACAAGGCTAATTCCAAACTCGGCCACAAAAGCCTTCACCATTTTTCCATAAAAAATAGTCCCATTATCAACCGTTATAGTTTGTGGGATGCCAAACCTATGGATCAAATCTTTAATGAACCCAATAACCTCTGTCTGGTTTACAGCTTTGTATGGCTTAGCTTCGACCCACTTAGTAAAATAGTCGGTAGCCACTATAATGAAACAATGGTGCTTCGAAGAGGGTGGATGTATTTTTTCCATTATATCCATGGCCCATCCTCTAAATGGCCAAGGCTTTACTACTGCATGCAGGTCAGTTATGGGCACATGCCTTATTGTGCCATGCTTTTGACATGCCTGGCAACCCTTTGCATATTCTATGCAGTCTTTAAGGATAGTTGGCTAATAGTAGGAATGTCTTCGAAGCAGCCATCTCATTTTCACACCAGGCTGATGTGCACCACAGATGCCTTCATGAAGCTCAGCCATAGCCGTTAATGCTTCTTTTGGGCCTAAACATTCCAGCAATAAACCATCTCCCCCTCTCTTGTAGAGGGCATTACAATATATCATATATTGCATAGACTGCAATTTAATTTTCCTGTTAGCCTTCGAAGATGGACCAGCCAAGTAATGCATTATTGGATACCTCCAATCTTGTTCTTGTAAGTCATTATTATTGACTTCTAAGACCACATTCCTTTTATTCGAAGGTGGGATTAACTTCTGGTATGTTGTTTGGCTTATGTCCCTTTGGGCATTATCCATTCTCTTGAAATTCGAAGCTTTCTGAGCCACATCATTAGCTCTATTATTCAAGAATCTTGGGACATGAGTTACATTTGCTATTTGAAATTGAGAAAGCAGATGTAATGCAACAACATAGTATGGCAAAATGCTTATGCTTTGACACTTGAAAATCCCTTTCACTTGATTAACCACCAATTGAGAGTCTCCAAATATGTCGACTGCATGAACTTGTAATCCAATAAGAATTTCTAGTCCCACTACTAAGGCTTCATACTCAGCTTGGTTATTGGAACAGGTAGCTTCATCCACTCTAAAACCATGTGTGGTTTCTATCCCTTGTGGTGACCTAATAACAATACCAATTCTAGTTAAACCATTGGCTTTTGATCCATCGAACCACATTTGCCAT